AAAAGTTTGCAGTGGCGTGCCCGGCAAAGGAAACCCCAAGCAGGGAACCCAGTTCACAGCGACCCCATGTGTGTCAGAGTAGAACTGCCCAATGACTGATTTTCTGAACCTTTTTCTGAGCGGACTCAGACCTCTGACCTTTAGTTAATTGCTGGGTACTTAACCATTTGCTCTACCAAAGGACTCTTGAAATTGCTAGCATTGGCATGAAAAGTGTTAAAGAAGAAACATTGATGTGAGAGAAGTGGGCGTAGCCGTTTTTTTGAAGGTGCCTGTTTTTAAAGTATGAGGAAGAGGCTTGGAGTCATTTTCTGTAAAAGAACACAGTGTGATATTGAACAGACCGCAGCATGTCCTGGACTTTGTACTTCCTTCTGTTTTCCTAAAGAAGCAAACATCTCCTCGTGGAATTTACGAAGAGTAGCATGTGGCACAGTGCTTTGGAATGAGGAGTGTTAGCCACCCACCAGCCATGGTTCTGGGTCAGGACCATCATCAGTAGCCATCTCTGGCTGTGGGTGCACTCTGTTGTGGACCCCTAGCTTGCTCTTGGCTACTAACCAGAAGGTTGGGTGTTGGATATACCTGGTGGTGCCATGAAAGAAAGGTGTGGCAATCTCCTTTAGTAAGGTCGTTGTTGTTAGGTGCCGTGTAGTCAGTTCCGACTCATAGTGACCCTGCACAGGGTTTCTGAAGCTGTAACTCTTTATGGGAGTATAAAGCCTCATCTTTCTCCCGCGGAACGGCTGGTAGTTTCGAACTGCTGACCTTGAGATTAACAGCCCGATTCATAACCACTACGCTACCAGAGCTCCTTTAGTAAGGACTGTTGAAAACCCTAGGCAGAAGTTCTACTCTGAAACACGCTTCTAACTCAGCAACAATGGCTTTAACAACTTGACTCTCATCTCAAGAACAGGGCTAAATGGCTGCACAACTGGCCGAATGAATACATTCTACACCATGAGAGGGAAATGCTGAGTGCATCTCTATCCAGGTGAAAGCAGAATTCAGCTCGGAGTCCCAAAGCAGAGATGAAATCATCTTGCTGTTAGGTGCTATGGAATGGAGAACCTGGGTGGGAGAGACAGAGTGAGCCTCAGGAACTGCCCTTGGGCACCCTACTGACTGGGCCCTTGCCGCGTGGAGAAAATAAGAAGGACTGGTTCTTCACTAAGGGCTCATCTGCCTGAATGTTCTCTCCTTTTAATTATAAGATGATTTTATATTTGTTCTGCCCCCCAACCCCCTGTCATTTGGCAGTATACATGAGGACATAAAACAATTAAGTCTCTCCCGGCGGGGGTGGACAGTTTTGGACTAAACACTCCTCTCCGTATTTCTTCCCACAAATTTCCCATGACTAATTACAAAGAACGGCCAGCCCTTCCACTGTTGGCCTTCTGACATTTGGAGAAGCTGCACTCTACCATTTTCACCTCTTAGGGCTGTTGGCTGTTCTCCCTCTTCCTACCCCTGCCTTATGGTTTTCCTGAACGTTCACATGGTACAGAATTCAGAAAATATGGAAGAACTTGCAGGGTGGACCTCTCAGCCCCAGTTCCTGGCTGCCCTGTTCTCATGCTGGCACAGTGGGTTAAGCATTATGCTGTTAACTGCAAGGATGGTGGTTCAAACCACCAGCTAGTCTGGAGGAGAACAGTGAGGCTGTCTGCTCCTGGGAAGATTTGCAGTCTTGGGAACACTTGTTGTTGTTAAGTACCGTTGAGTCAGTTCTGACTCATAGCAACCCTGTATAGCGTTTCCGAGGAAGAGCTGGTGAGCTTGAACCACTGACATTGTGGTTCAAACCCACCATGAGGTCCAGAGCATTATCCCACAGTGCCACACCAGGACCCTAGGGAGCAGTTTTACTGTGTCCTGTAGGAATCCTAGAGTTCTGGTGTGGAGCTATGGGTTAATGCGCTGGACTGCAAAGTCCGTTAGAACCACAAGGTCAGTGGTTCAAGCTCACCAGTCAGTCCTTGGAAACCCTATACAGGGTTGCTATGGGTCAGAACCGACTCTTTAGCACTTAACAACAACAGCAGCATAGGAGTCCTAGTGTGATGCTTCAGGATAATGCATTGGACCGTAAGATCAGTTTCAACTGATAGGTTGGCAGTTCAAACCCACCAACCACCCCTTGGAAGCCCTATACAGGGTCTCTGTGACTTCGAACCAAATCAATGGCACTAAACAACAACAACATAGGAGTCCTGGTATGACACTGCAGGTTAGCAAACTGCACTGCAAGGGCAGTTTGAACCACAAGGTCAGAGGTTCAAGCTCACCAGCTGCTCCTCAGAAACCCTATACAGGGTCTCTGTGAGTCGGAACTAACTCGATGGCACGTAGCAACAACACCGACATAGAGTTACTTTGGTTTTTGATGTAAGAACCAGGTATGCTCAAGCAAATATTCATATGCAGTTTCCTTTTATAGAAAACCCAAGTGACACCTTGCTCAAAACAGAACAAAACAAAACTGGAAATCCTCCTGCTTGCACATGACGTGTAGTTCTTCCTTATAAGGTTGGTAGTTCAAACCTACCAGCAACTCCGAGAGAGAATGATGAGGCTGTCTCTTCCTGTAAAGATCTTTGTTGTTGTTGTTGTTAAGTGCCATCGAGTCGGGTCCGCCCCATAGCGACCCTGTACAGGGTTTCCGAGGGTGTAAATCTTTACGGGAGTAGAAAGCCTCATCTTTCTCCCGCGGAGCGGCTGGTAGTTTCGAACCGCTGACCTTAAGGTTCGCAGCCCGATTCGTAACCACTACGCTACCAGACAACCTTGGAAATCCTGCATAGAGGCGCTAGGAGTTGGTACCAACTTGACTGCTGTGAGTTTGGTTTGGCTTGGAGGAATCTGGGTGACACAAGTAGTTTCTGATTGACTGTTAACCTAAAGGTTCTTGGTTCAAACCTAAAGGTTCATGGAAGAAAGACCTGGTGAACTGCTGCTGTAAAGATTGCATTACCCTTCTGGGGTAGTTCTATTTTATAATACATGGGATCGCCATGAGACGGAAATCAGCTTCCCAACAGGTTCTTGGTTTTCTCATAGTCTGTGAATGGACATTTAAGATGCTTTCCTTTTCTGCTCCTATAAATAGTGCTGGGGTGAAAAGCCTGAATATCTATTGTTTTTATACAGATTGGGGTATATTTATAGACTAACATCCTGCCTGTGGAATTGCGGGGACAGAGGGTGGATGCGTTTATGCCTTTCATTGATTTTATACTTTTTGATATAGTCTCCACTGGCAATACATGAGAGTTTGTGTTTCCCTACAGTGTTTCTTGGTGCAGTAGAGAGGTTAAAAATACCAGCGTGTAGTTTCAATTTGTGTTTCTTTTGCTATGAGTGAGAATTTACTTATTGATGAACTGTCTTGTGTTCCTTTCCCATGGTTCTAATGGATTGTTGGCCTTATTTCTAATTGGTTGTCAGTTGCTTAACAAGGTGAATTCTACTTACAGAAATCTTCAATGGTGTTTTATTGTCAGTAGAATAAAGTCCAATCAGGACCCTGACTTTTCAACTGCATACCCATTACTCATGCCTGTGCCTCATACACCCATTCTACTTTCCTGCCAAACCAGTCTGCTTGCTGTTCCTTAAATGTGCATGTGTTTTCCTGCCTCCTTGAATCTGCTCCATGGCCGGGGATTTTTATCTTTGTTTTCAGTTGTCTCTGCAGATGTTACTCACACCACTTGTAGTCTCTTTCCATGTAAACTTCAGAATCCATTTGTCAGTATCTACAAAAAAAGGTGTTTTGTTTTCTTTTTTACTGAGACTGTGTTTGAGCTATAGATAAGCGGGGAGAAACGAACATCTTAATGATATTTAGCCTTCCCTGGTGTGGCGCTGTGGGTTAATGCGCTGGACTGCAAGGTCGGTTTTGAACCAGAGAGTCGGCGATTTAAGGTCGCTATGCGTTGGAACCAACTTGATGGCACTTCAGAGCAAACAACAAACCTTAAGCAGCACTGGACCACAAGGTCAGTTTGATCTGCAAGGGCGGTGGTTTAAACTCACCAGCTACTCCTTGGAAACCCTATACAAGGTCACTATAATTCGGAACAGACTCAGTGGCACGTAACAACAACAACAACAACAGCCCTTTGTCATAAGTGAAGAAAGGAGTCCATATTTCTGCCTTTGTTGGAGTGTACCACACTGACCTTTTTAGCTATTGTGTCTCAGATACCTCGATCACAGTCAAATTTAGAAGTGCACTTCACACACAGATATCCTGCGCAGAACAATGACCTTGATGCTGTGACCAAGCTTCCTGGGTTTCTTTAGGAAGAAATGCCCATATTGAGAAGGCTTCTTTATTTAAAGAACTAGATACGCACACAGCTAAAACTCTTTCTTGGCACACACTAACATCATCCATGGCAGAAGAGTCCGACAACACAGTCCCTAATCCAAGCTTGCCTGTGTTTGATTTGCAACAGCAGAAACCTCCTGCTGGCCCATCCATCACCATGCTTTGCTCGGGCTCTGAAGTTCTGGGAGAAAAAAGGGCCATGTTGCCAACCCTGTTATATTCCGTCTGGGTGCACTTTGAATCTTTTTCCCACCCTGTGATTTGATAGCTTCTGGTCACCATTTGAAGACAGGACAATAAATAGTTCAAAGTATCTGAAGCGCCACCATCTCCTTTTTCATTCTAAGGCAGGTTCAACTGCTACTGAATTTGTTGTGAACTGCCTCCTACATTTGGAAACCAACTCTGGAATTATTGCCTCATAGCTTTGACAGTTACATTTTGATCCGCAGATGTTACTGAATCTGGGGAGGGCATTTGATGTGGTCTAATCTCCATGTGTGTGTGTTGGTCTTGCTCCAATCAGTAGTGCATTTGAAATCTTTTCTCTTCCACATTCATTGGCTTTATGTAGATGGGTATTTTTTACCCAAGGAAAATAATGAGTCACAGATCTCTAATTACAATTTTAAACCTTTCTTTTTCTTTTCTATTTCAGAATTTTGTACCGTCTTTGGGCAGGCCGACTTCCTTAACAACATCAGTGATACCCAAAGCTGAGCGGAGTATGGCTTACAAAGACTTTATTTATTTTACGGTCTTTGAAGGCAATGTTCGTAACGTCTCCGAAGTCTCAGTTGAGTATTTGTGTTCCCAGTCTTGTGTTGTCAATTTTGAAGCCGTGGTTTCGTCTGAGTTCAGAAGCAGCATCCCTGTGTACAAAAAAAGGTGGAAGAATGAGAAACATCTTCACACCAGCAGGACACAAATAGTACATGTGAGATTTCCAAGCATCATGGTTTACAGAGATGACTATTTCATTAGACACTCCATCTCTGTGTCCGCGGTGATCCTGCGCGCCTGGATTACTCACAAATACGGTGGTGGAGACTTGAATGTTAAATGGGAGGAGAACTTGTTACATGTTGTAGCAAAGAATTACACTCTGCTGAAGACAGTCCCGCCTTTTGAACGCCCTTTCAAAGATCATCAAGTGTGCCTTGAATGGAACATGGATTATATTTGGAACCTTCGGGCAAACAAGATTCCCCAGTGTCCTTTGGAAACTGGTAGGTCATTTGCCTTGATAGGGACCGAATTCTCCTTTTTTCAGATGGCTGATGTCGTAGTAGGATGGCGAGGGAACGGTCTTATATGAGCAGCAGGAGCAACAAGGGAAAGTAGAGAGACTGCTCTCAGAAGCCTCTCAGCTGCCTCACGTGAATCCTGTCATTATGGGGACAAAAGGGGAAAAGTGAAAAGGTGAAGAGAGGAGAATAGGAACCAAGATGAAAGCGAGGGACCTAGAAGGGGTCGTGGAGGAGAGACCTCAAGAGATTTAGATCTGCTTTAGGTTGGAAAGGAATATTAAAGCTTGAGAGCATCTTGCTTTTTTTTTACTTACTCCTCCCCTCTCCTAAAAAGACCAACTCAAGTTTAGTTATGTTTAAGAAGCGTTGTATTTTAGAGGCAATGAGGACTAGGAAAAGCGTTCACACCAGCCAGGGAAGAAGTATCGCAGAGTGGGTTAGCCAAGCCAACCTAGGTTCAATTTCAGACTCTGCCCCTTTGGAATGACTTTTTGAGCCTCAGATGTTCTTATCTGTAAAATGGGGATAGTAAGTGACATTTCCCTCCTAGCAAGATTGTGAGAATTGAATAAGCTGTCATTGCCTACCATACAATCAGTGCTCAGTAAAAACATGTTGGTGATGGAGTCCAAACTCAGCATTCTGTCCTGCCGAGCTGTGGTCCCAGTCTCCACAGAACCTGAAGGCCAGGGCTGCATTCCTCAGCCTCTCCTTAAGCCTCGGGGTTGCAGAACTCTGACTCCACATTTATAGGTGGAGGTCTGAGGTTCTCTCCATGGGTACGAGAGCACGCTCCTAGGTACCCACCCAAGGTCTGTCCGTAGTTCCAAAACTGGGGCAGAATCACTCAAGAATGCTGTAAATACACATTCCTTGGCTCCATTCTTTACCTACCCAATCTGAGTCTGTAGAGGAAGGGACCCTGGAATCTGCATTTTAAACAAGTTCCTCATGGTGCTCATATACCATAATGCTTGAGAACATCCTAGAGCTACAGGCAGCCGTGGTGAGTTGGGGAGAGCTATGAACCTGTGGCAGCAGACCCTTCCACAGGAAGTGCCTAACTGTTTCTGGTCTTCAACAGGGCTGGCTTGGGGCAAGGACTTAAGGACGCAGGGTTCTAAGGTCTCCCTCTGGTGATGAACTCTTGATACTTCTGTGATGTGATTTCTATGAGGCCATTTTTGGGGAGAAACAATGGCTATGGTAATTTCTTGGTGTTGTCTCAGGCAACTATTATATTGTTGTTCATTATTGTAGAGCTGTGGTAGCTTAGTGGTTACGAATCGGGCTGCTAATCTCACCGTCAGCAGTTTGAAACTCCCAGCTGTTCCGTGGGAGAAAGAAGAAGGTTTCTGCTTTTGTAAAGATTTATAGCCTCGGAAACCCTCTACAGGGTCACTATGAGTTGGAACCGATGCCATGGCACATAACAACAAAGGGCCCGAGCAACCTTGTGTTTTACTTGTTCAGAGGTCATTTGCCACAGGATCAGCACATTTGAAATAATTGTAAAACCTGTATCTTGAAAGCAGAGTCCTGGTGTGGATATGCACTGGGCTACAAGGTCGCTTTGAACCACAAGGTCAACGGTTTAAACTCACAGCCATTCCTCGGAAACTCTATATAGGGTCACTATGAGCCAGAACTGACTTGATGGCACTTAACAACAACAACATTTTGAAATTATTACAAACTCACAGGAAGTTGCAGAAATGATACAGGAAGTCCCTTGTCTCCCTCCCCCAGCTCCCACCAAGTGCAACACCTTCCATAATAAGAGCAAATTGACATCCATCTAGTGCAATTAACTAGACTACAGACTTTATGCAGATCTCACCAATTTTACCATGCACTCCTGGTACGGCTTTGTACGATCAGGACTGGACTACAAACCACAAGGTCAGCAGTTCAAACCCACCAGCTGCTCCTTGGAAACCCTATACAGGGTGGCTATGAGTCAGAACTGACTTGATGGCACTTAACAACAATTTGTGGAAAGGAGGTTAAGTGTGTATATATAAAGAAAACCAAGCCAAACTAGTTGCTGTTGAATCAGTTCTGACTCATGGCAACCCCATGGGTTTTGGAGTAGAAGTGTGCTCCATAGGGTTTTAGTGGCTGTGATGTTTTGGAAGTAAATTAGTAGGGATTTCTATGTTGTTGTTGTTGTTGTTGAGGGCCACTGAATCACTTCCAACTCATAGTGACTCTATATGATAGAGTAGAGTTGCTTATGAGGTTTCTTAGGGAGTCAAGTGCCAGTCAAGCTACTGGTAGGTTTGAACCATCAACCTATGAGTTATCAGCTGAGCACTTAGCCACTGTACCACCAGGATGCCTTAGGTGTTTCTCTGTTGTTAAGTGCTTAAATCTGTTGTTAAATGTCAAGTCCGTTCTGACTCAGCGACCCTGTGTACATAGGGTTTCTGAGGAGTGACGGGTGGATTTGAACTGCCAACCTTTCTACAGTTCTATGTAATTTTATCCTACATTTTAACAGTCAGCTATTTGGCACATTCTGTGTCTGTGCTGTATATATGGAGAGTACATGTATATATTGTATATATACTGGAAGAAACAGTGAAATCTCCTTTCTCTGTGTGCACGGTTGAGGTGGTGGGATGGGTAATTAAATGTCTGAAATAAGTCAAGTTGTATGTGTTTTGACGATCAATGTGCACACCTCTTCCGTGCAGTACTCCGTGCTAGTACCTGGGTGGAGGGCCTTCTACAAGAGGTCCAGTTTCTCATGGGGAATCAAGCACAAAGCGCATACTGCTTTGCCTCCGGCTTAAACCCAAACCCAACCCATAGCCTCTGAGTTGATTCCAATTTATTACGACCCTCTAGGATAGAGTAGAACTGCCCCAAAGGGTTTCCACGGCTGTGATCTTCACAGATGCCGGTTACCACTTCTTCCTCCAATGGGGCAGCTGGTGGGTTTTGAACCACCAACCTCTTGTTTAACCACTGTGCCCCCAGGACTCCTTCCTCTAACTTTTCAAGGGCTTAATGATTCCATTTCATGTTTGGCAAATCACATTTTTCATTGAAGAATGACTCAGTTGCAAGCCGGAAGTTTTCAAATGAAGTCATTTATGAACTGACTTAAAACCTGCGTCGTCTTTTCTTTTCTTTTGTTATTTCTTCCTTATTCACAAAGCTCAGGAATAGCCCATTGGGTTTTGTTTTTCCTCTCTCCACCTTTCTTAGAGCATTGCCTTTGGGATAAGAACCAGTATAATAGAATCTTAATACAAAGGCAAACGTGTTCTAAGAGCTAAAGCTACTGAAATTGTGGGATTCTGTGAGTCCTCAAAACCAGCTCAGTTCACAGGCCTGTGATTATGTGACAAAATAGGGGAGCAGGCCTTCACTCTGTCTTTAAGAGACAATGGGAGGAAGGTTGGCAGCAGCCCCCATGAAAAGCGTACACCACCTTTGTTCTTAATGATGGTCCTGGGGACTGAGGGGTTCCAGGCCTTTGAGTTGTTCATAGTCAGAGTATCTTTATTTGGCTGTTGATGACCAAGAGTGGAGCCAGAACTACAAGATTGTAACAGTGAAGTGGAAAGCAAAAGTTGGAAACAAAGAAGAAGGATCCATAGTTGTCAAATATGGCCTTGGTGATGGATACAAAGCGGGAGATGACATGATAGAATTTTCTAAGACCGTTGGCTTATCCATTGGAAATACCTTTTCAACAGCATAAAGGTGACTGACTATACATGTAGATTCAGAAGGAAATATGAAACAAGAGATAGATAACCATTGCTGATGTGAGACAGATCTTGACTGAAAGCATGGGATACTAGAAAGATATTTACTTGTGCTTTATTGACCGTGCAAAGGCATTTGACTATATGGATGGATGATCACAAAGTATAGACAACATTGTAAAGAATGGGACTTCCATTACATTTAATCGTGCTCACGTGGAACTTGTAAATAAAACAAGAGGCTGTCATTTGAACAGAACAAGGGCATACTGTATGGTTTAAAATCAGGAGAGGTGTGCATGAAAGCTATTCATGTAGTCCAGAGTCTTGGATTATATGCTCAGCATACAGATTGAACAAGTGTGGTGAAAGGAAGGGTACAAACATGAAGCACACCTTTCATCATATGTATTCAACCCGTATGCTGAGCATATAATCCTAGAAGCTGGACTATATGGGCATCAGGATTGGAGGACTCATTAACAACCTGCGATATGCAGGTGACGCAGCCTTGCTTTCTGAAAATGAGGAGGACTTATCTTACTGATGAGGATCAAATTCTACAGTCTTCTAACCTTCTCCATCAAGAAAACAAAAATCTTCACAACTGGACTATTAAACATCATGACAAATTGAGGTTAAGACTTCATTTGACTTGGCTCCACAATCAACACTCATGGAAGCAGCTGCCAAGAAATCAAAGTATTGCATTGGGCAAATCTGCTACGAAAGACCTCTTTCAAGTGTTAAAAAGGAAAGAGGTCATTTTGAGGCCTGAAGTTTGCCTGACACAAGCACTTCAAATGCATGTGAATGGTGGTGGGGGAAGTTGTGTGTCCTGGAGTAGGTGCCAACGCACAGTGGCCCTCTATACGGATCCCAAGGCTGTAAATCTTTACGTGAGCAGAAAGCCTCATCTTTCTCCCGTGGAACCATTGGTAGTTTCAAACTGCTGATGGGTGAAATTATCAGTCTGACTAGTAACTACTATGCTACCAGAGCTCCTTATGCATGTGAATAAGAAAGACTAAGGAAGAATCAATGCCTTTGAATTACAATGCTGGCAATGAATATTGAATCTGCTTCGGACTGCCAGAAGAATGAACAAATCTGTGTTGGGAGAAGTACAGCCAGAATACTTCTTAAGAGGCAAGATGGTGAGATTTCCTCTCATGTACTTTGGACATTATCAGGTGAGACCAGATCCTGGAGAAGGCCATCGTGCTTGGTAGAGAATCAGTGAAAAAGAGGAAGGGC